TATGTTTATTGCAGCATTATTTACAGTCACCAAAATACAGAGGCAGCCCATGTGTCCATTAGCATATGAGTGGGTAAAACAAATAAGGGACATTGTGTAATGGAATACTACATGGCTGTAAAAAAGAGGAAAGTTTTACCCTTTGTGACAGGATGGATGAACCAGGAGAACATTATGCTAAGTGAAATAAGCCAGTCAGAGAAAGACAAGTACCGCATGATTTCATTCATATGTGGAATCTAATGAACAAACTGAACTAACAAGCAAAATAGAGACAGGCCCGTAGATAGCAGGACGACAGCTAACCGGGAGGGTGGGGGGACTGTCAGGAGGGGATGGAGGAATGGAGCAAAAGGAAAAAGGGCTGATGTTCGGAGACAACAGTGTGGTGATTGCCGTGGGGGAGAAGGTGTAAGGGGGCTAAATAGTAATGAAAAAATGCAATAATTATTTTTTAAAAAACGAATTTTTTCTACATTATTAGCCACAATTTTTCTGTAAAATATGATTTTTTCAACATCTGAGGCTATTGGTTTGTTCTCCTTCAAAGGTCAGATATGTAAGTTCTTTAACCAGCTCAGAAGATGATGTAAGTTTTTTTTTTTTCTGGCTTTCTTCTTTTTTAATATCATTGGTGACTCACTGACTTTTATTGGGTCAGTTAGTGTCAGTCTTAATTCTCCCAACTTTGACAAGTAGGGAAGGGGATCTTTCAGGCTAATCCCTGTCCTGTGTCTTTTTGCTATGATACTATGTTTTAAATTATGGCAACATTTAAACAAAGTATAAAGAAAAATATAGTGAACCTCCCAGGCATCTTTCAGCTTCAGTAATTATCAGTACATTTTCAGTCTTCTTTTATTTGTCCTCTTCTACTTTATTGATCCCCTAGATTATGATCCCATTGATATTTGAAAGTCTTCTTTGTTTTCTGTCATGGTAAGGCCCCAGACCTGGAATCTTCTATTTCTCTAAGAAGCCCTGATTGCTTTCTAGTAAGAAATGGTATCAGATAAAATCTGGGCATAGAAGTTATTGAAAGTTTTTAATTATGATTTGTCTTTACCTTTGCCTCATGTGCCCCATCGTAATAGTAGCCTAGTTCTCGTAAGCAAGGTTATACTCATTTGAGTCACAGAAAATGAACACTTCTCAAAAATGGGACAAAAAGCTTCATATTTCTATTTTAATTGGTCTGAATGTTGACAGATGATTCAAATTTTGGCAGATAAGTGTTTGGGGTTTTATTTTAAGATTTTATTTATTTATCTTTAGAGAGAGGGAAAGGGGGGAGAAAGAAAGGAAGAGAAACATCGATGTGAGAGAGAAACATCAATTGGTTGCCTCTTAGCCCTAACCAGGGACTGAGCACACAACCCAGGCATGTGTCCTGACCAGGAACTGAACCAGTGACCTTTTCAGTTTGTGGAATGACGCCCAACCAACTGAGCCACACCAGTCAGGGCCAGATACATGTTTTTAATAAAGGAATTTTGTAAAGTAAACACCATTTAGTGTTATCAGTTTACTCATACTACAATATAAGGAAATTCTCTGAAGGTTTGCTTATACCACACTTTGTTTTTTTAGCATTCAACACATTTCCCTCATAGTAATAATGCAGATGATAAAATGTTATTTGATTCTAGCTCTTAAAATCTGTTATTATTTCCAAGATAAATTAAACCCATATCTCTGCCTCCTTTTCCTTCTGATGCTCCACTGAAATAAAATGTATAGAGATAAAAAAAAAAAAAATGAAGAAGCCAAAAACAGCAAATAGAAAGACTACTCAAGAGTGATAATTGAACAATTTCTGGATCTCTTTTTGAGTACTAGAAGGCACCCTCTTCTCACTTCCCCATACCTCTCCTACCCCTACACTTGGACCATAGATAGCTGGCATGAACCCAGGCAAAACACCAGGCAGGTTTTCTTTAGAAAAATTGGAGAAAGCTAAGCCTTCTAGAGTACAAGTTATGTCCCCAAAACAAATGCCATCTTTATTCTGGCATTTAGAGAGCCTGCTGGCTCCTCTCCTACACACCCTAAAAGAACACTGTATATCTAGCCTACACAGAGGCCCCCTCAGGAGAGCAATCGAATCAAAAAACAGACCACTTAGACAGTTTCTCTGTAACTACAGAGAAAATCTGTGTTGGCTAATGAGTCATTCGGGCCTAAGTATTAATAAGTAACTAGAAATTACCAAGCATGTGAAGAAAACTAATGGCATGAAAGACTAAAATAATCAGAAAAAATTGCACTAGAAAAAATACAGTTAACCAGAGAGAACTTTACAAAAAAGGAACTCTAATATACTCAGAGCTGCAAGAAGATACTACATCCTTAAACAAGTGTAAGAGAACACGAGTTTTCAGATTGAAAGGTCACATGAAGTACTGAAATTGTGAATCAGATATCATACTGTAACGCATTCACGTGGAACTGCAGAATTCCTAGGATAAAAGATCCAGAGAAAAGTTGTGTACAAAGTGATAAGTATCAGTCCGAAATCAAACTTCTCATCAGTAACCTTTAATGCTTTAAGACAGGAAAATATTGCCTACATTTCTAAAGAAAATACTGTACAACCAAGGATATAGGATCCAAACAATCAAAGGTGAAAGCAGAACAAAGTTGTTTTCAGACAGGCAGGGGCTCAAAGTTTACCTTCTCTTGGAATTAAATGAATGGATTACACATTCACCATCGATCTTCTTGAAAAACAGAAATTCATTGTGTAATTTTTCATTAAACGTTTTCATCTTGGGCTTTGATTTAAAGAGAAAAATCTCATTGACGCTATTGAAAGGAAATGGGGAAGGAGGACTACAAACGGTAGAATTAGCTGTGCCGCCCTAGCCGGTGTGACTCGGTTGGTTGGGCGTCGTCCAGCAAAGTGAAAGTCCCTGGATCAGTTCTTGGCCTGGGCACATGCCTGGGTTACAGGTTCAATCTTTGATGGGGGCACATGTGAGAGGCAACTGATGGATGTTTCTCTCTCACAGCAGTGTTTCTATCCCTCTCTTTCTCCCTCTTTTTACCCTCTTTTTAGAAATATATGTAAAATCTTCTAAAGAAATAGTTGTGGATTTACAACAAAATAAATTACAGACCTACTATAGCAAACAGCAGCGAGACTATTCCCTTTACTCTCAGCAGGCTGAAATATTCCATATATTGCACATATTTTAACTGACCCATAATTTTTCATATTTCCCAATGACCCCAGCAACAGGCAGTTGGGGCTGCTTACATGCAGGCCAGCAGGGACAACAGCATCAAATTCTTCTCCAGTCATGACTGGAATGACATGATCTAATTTATATTTAAAAGCGTCATTCTGACTGCTTGCTGTGTTGAAAGCAGACTCAGGGGTAGAGTGGTAGAGCAAGGACAGACGCACGGAGACCAGTTTGGATATCATTGCAGTATTCCAAATGAGCGATGACAGTGGCTCTGAGATGGTAATAGAGGTAACAGAAAAGAGGGTAGATTTTGAGTATAATTTGAAGGTAGAGCCAATAGGATTTGCTGACTGATGGGATATGGGGTGAGCGACAGAGGACTCCAGATTTCTGATCTGAGCAGTTAGAAATGAGAAACAGATTGAGAGGAAAGATTAGGAGTTAAGTTTTGGGTGTTATATTTCAAAGTCCTTTTGACCACCAAGTAAAGATGACATTTATTTGGATTACCACTTAGATATATGTGTCTGCAGTTCTGAAGAAAGGTCTGGCCTGGAGATGGAACTTTGGGAGATAAAGAGATTTTTTTAAAAAAGAGGTCTGAGGACTGGGACCTGTGGCACTCCAACACTGAGATTCAGAGGGACGAGAAGGAGCGATCAAACGTGAGCGAGTCGGAGCAGTCAGTGGGGTATAAGGAGAACCAAGACAGAATGGTGCCCTAGAAGCCATGGGAAGAAAGTGTTTGAACAAGGAGTCATAGACTGTTTTATACTGCTAAGGGATCAAGTAGGGCGAGCACTAAAAATTCACTGTTGCATTGGACAGCATGGTTGTCAGTGTTTACCTTAGCAAGACCTGTTGCCTTTTTTTAAACAGCTACTAAGTTGTTAAGACAAAAATGTGTACTAAGTTGTTTGGGCCCAGCTACTTAATTAATAAATGAAACTATTAGATGTTTCTTTGGGCCCATGGGCTTTGTGAAAAAAATGACTAAGGTACAAATGGAGCCACAAACAGAGAAAGTTTGGGAATATCTGCTTTAGAGGATCGTGCCAACTGAGCATTTTATTGGGTTAGCCAAAAAGTTTGTTTGTTTTTTTTTTCTGTAACCTAAAAGACATATTTTTCATTTTCACCAATAACTTTATTGATTTGGATATTTTGAGTATGCTGGCTATCTCTCACATGGTAGAACATTGATTGTTCTCAGTTAATGTCTCAATTTGATCACTATCAACTTCAACTGGTCTACCAGACCATGGAGCATAGTCCAGTGAGAACTCTCCAACACAAAACTTTGCACACCACTTTGACACATTCCATCGGTCACAGTACCTTCTCCATACACTGCACAAATCTTTTCTGTGTGTTTCAGTTGCACTTTTACCTTTCTTGAAACAATAAAATACGATATGCCAAAAATGTTGCATATTTCCTTCCATCTTCAGTATTAAAATAGCTGCACAAAAATTCATCAATTTGGTAAATTTTTTAAAAATAAACGCTGATATGACAGCTGTCACAATACACTCTAACAGAATTGTTTCAAATGAAGTTAAAGAGAACTAAGCACTACTAGAGCCATCTTATGGAAAAAAACAAATGAACTTTTGGGCCAACCAATAAGAGAGGCAAGCACCTCTTTGTGACTGCTGAAAAGTTTGAGTTAGTAATTTCAAATCTGATTAGATTACATGCAATTAATAAAATTTCCCAAATGTGGTTATTCAACATAAAAAATAAAACCTTATCTTGTGAAATGTCAGTAGTACATCTTTGCATGAATTTTTCTTCTTGACTCCATAGGTATGGTCTGAATATGCGTTGCTTGGCAGCTCGGGTCAACTATAAGACTTTGATTATCATCTGCGCACTCTTCACTTTGGTGACGGTACTTTTGTGGAATAAGTGTTCCAGCGACAAAGCTATCCAGTTTCCACGGCACTTGAGTAGTGGCTTCAGAGTGGATGGATTAGAAAAAAGAGCAGCAGCGTCTGAGAGTAACAACTATGTGAATCATCTGGCCAAACACTCAGAGGAGGCATTTCCTCTGGAACAGCAGAAAGCACCCCCTGTCGCTGGGGGCTTCAATAGCAATGGGGGGAGCAAGGTGTTAGGGCTCAAATATGAAGAAATTGACTGTCTCATAAATGATGACCACACAATTAAAGGGAGACGAGAGGGGAATGAAATCTTTCTTCCATTCACTTGGATAGAGAAATATTTTGACGTCTATGGAAAGGTGGTTCAGTATGATGGCTATGATCGGTTTGAATTCTCTCATAGCTATTCCAAAGTCTATGCACAGAGAGCTCCTTATCACCCTGATGGTGTGTTTATGTCCTTTGAAGGCTACAATGTGGAAGTCCGAGACAGAGTCAAGTGCATAAGTGGGGTTGAAGGTTAGTATATCTCTGCTACACTGCATTTTTCTATCCTGATTGTGTTGAGGAATAAGAAACTGTAGGTATTCATTGTATAGCAAGTACATATGTAGCTTACTATCAAGAGACCTTTCATCACTCTGACTTAGCAGGGAGAAACAATTTATTCTGAACCTAGGGCAGCTTTCTAGATGGTGTGATTTATACCAGATCAAATAGGATTAGTCCATTAAGCTGCCTCAGAATCTAAAATTTTCACTAGTAAGACCAAGGCACAGGATCTCTAGAAATTTTGGTTCAAATATAGAATTATCCCATGAGAGGAGATGGGAAAAGAACAAAGGTCATTCAGTGGACCCATCAATGTCACAATATATAGTCTTGTTACCAGATTAGCCAGGTCCCATCTCTGGATGGAGGCTTCAGGTCCTCAGAACTAGACAATAGATAGATACAATTTTCTCTCAACCTATTCTGAACTGCTATAACCTATTGCAGATTTTCTTTCAAACTTGGAGCAGTGGGTATTTCTTATGAGTATATTAGTACTATTTGAAATTTGTATTTCAAACCTAGGATCAGAAAGCCACATTGAATTTGACTTTTCATTTACATATGATTTGCTAATGTTAGAAGTTTTCAGTCCTATTTACTAAACTTAGGGATGTTTTTTAACCTCTTCCTTTTGTGCTTATGTCATTTGCCACACCATGCTCAACTATTCTAACAGTCTTTTTTTTTAACATTTAACTTTTTAGCAAAGCTAAATTGGTTAATGTTTTGGTAAATGCTAAAAAGTTAGGATCTACTTTAGACTTTTTTCCTATCATGTTTTGAATAGTCTCCTCTTTTCATGATACAAGCTTTATCATTATACTAAAATATATTGAATACTAGAGTATGTTTCTGGCCCTCTGTTCCATTGATCAAGTCTATCAGTTCTTAGACCAATTGTACATTATTGTAAATAGTTATCACCCATCTTTAATGGGCTTGTATAAGCCTTCCTTTTATTAAATGAAAATAATTCTGTTTGAATTTTGAAAAAACAAATCCCCCTCTGGAGAAAGAATTCAGAAATTAAAATGTTTGTTTATAGCCTAGGATTCTTGGCCTCTTTGGCCCCTAATTTCTTCAACTGTGTCAAAACTACGTCAGAACACATACAGTTTTATAGGTTCCTAGTTTCTGCTAGGACCAGAACTACATACAGACAGGAGTTTATCACTCACCACGTACACCATGATGCAACAATACAATGTGGTATGATTGTATTTCCCATGTAGGTAATTACTAAAATAAATACTGACACCAAATACTTAAAGGCTTTCCTTAGAACTTTCGAAGAGGTAATACATTAATGAATTATTTCAAGAATCTATGTTTAAATATACAGCTTTTCTTCACTTAAAAAACACTCCTTGTTCTCAAGAATTACATTTTGACATGAAGGATGTGAAAAAGAGTCGCAAGCTTGTTTATACTTTAAGTTGCTTAATCATAACTGAGCTCTTAAGGAAATGCTTTAACCATCAGATTATATACTTTTGAGAATACATCTTGACATCGGAGAGAGAGGAGTATGCAATTAACTTTATTGTTAATTATAAATGTTTAAGAAGTTTTAGGATTGATATTCTATAATAAAACTATGGCAACATTACCTACATGTATTTAAATTGTGTAAAACTTCAGTCTATGAAACAGAAGTATGAAACATCACATCTGTAGCTATGAGCAAAAGTTACATAAAAAGTCAGTCCTTAAAAGATAATCTACAACATTGCATTGCTGTCTGTCATTGAATAATAAATGAAAGTGAGAGAATACCTAATTTTGTTTTTCATACCTGGTTAACTTGGTACTATTTTTTAGTCAAATACGAAGACAGTATAATAAGGAAGCTCAAATTTTGCTGATAACTATATAATATCCCGAGAAGTAAGACAGTGAAGAGTGGTGTTCAGAACAAACTTATAAGTATCTGGACATGATTATTTATTTTGTTTCTCTATTTTATAGGTGTACCTTTATCTACACAATGGGGACCTCAAGGCTATTTCTACCCAATCCAAATTGCACAGTATGGATTGAGTCATTACAGCAAGAATCTAACGGAGAAACCTCCTCACATAGAGGTATATGAGGCAGCAGAAGATAGGGACAAAACTAGCAAGCCCAGTGACTGGACTGTGCCAAAGGGCTGCTTTATGGCTAGTGTGGCTGATAAGTCTAGATTCACCAATGTTAAACAATTCATTGCTCCAGGTAAGTGATATATTGTGTATCTGCTAATTTTATATTAATTTATGGCATCTGAGTCACTCTTAAAACTTTTTTTTGTTTGTTTCAAAACACACAGCAGCAGAGCCTTTATATTACGTATATAAAGAAACAAATGGTGTCACTCCCTAAGTGAAAGAAATCCCTAATAAAGAAACAGCTAAACATTCAAGGTTACAAAAGGCATATTTATTGTGTAAAGAGCCAAACTCTATGCATAGATTGAATATTTAGACCCAGGTTACTGCATGGCATGCATCACCTCCCAGGGACCCATATCCCATAAGAATGAAGTTTCTTTGTTTATTTTAATATTTCAGTACAGTATTCTTTAATTTTTTAAATATTTGGCATTAAGGTAGAAATATTCCTTTATAGAAAGAGCTATCCTTTCTTTTGCCTATTTTTTACCAATAGCTTTTAATTTTTTTCAAGGTAAGACAGCATTAGCAACTTAGGCCTGCTTCCCATATTGAATTTTGTTAATGTACTAGATTGTCTCAAACTTCATATAAAACAATTTCATTAATAAAATCATTTATAAAATCAAATTAACTTTATGCAACATTTCCCCTTTTACTAAGACAGTCTCATTAATTAGGATGTAATGCATTTTTCTCTACTAATCAATATCCATGAGAATTAATGAGTCCATTACTTAAAAAGACAATGAAATAATTTTAGCACCTCAGGCTTAAATTCTCTATAGGGAAATGTCGTCAAGAACAGAACTCATTCTTGCCCTCCCGCCAACCTTGCAGTCAGTAAATAGAAAAAGAGAAAAGGTTATACAACTTCTTCTGTATTCTCTCCTTGTCCTTTATTGATGACTGTGTAATTCACAGACCTTGAAAGCCACAATACAAATCTACTCATTCTGAATGGCCTTAAGTAATGGATTTATGAGTGCTTAATGCAGTGCAAATAATGAGTGACCTTTCATTTTTATTGTAACTAGAACTTTTCTCCTGTGCCATTCTGTGATATTCCAGTATATAGAACATCTTTGCTTATTGTAAGACAGCAGGTTTGGCTGGGTGAGAAAGTATGTGGAAATGTTTAAGAATATTTAGAGCTTGTGATACCTAAGAGGTTATTGCAGAAGGAAATGATTAGATTAAGCAAAAGGATATCTGGTTTAGGGTGCACCAAAGACACTTATTTTTGCACTAATTACTAATGGTGTCTGGAGTAGGGTGGAAAATAGCAACCCTCATTTTGATCCCCTCAAGTGCTGGGAATTTTTCTAGAACAATCTTTTGAACTTTATCTTATTTAGAGCAATAGGCTTCATGGTGCATTTTTGGATGCCCTGGGTAATACAAAAGATAGGTCCCCTCATACAAAGTGAGGGACCTTCACTTTAGCCCTTCTTTCTGGAGCCAGTAGCTGGAGATATAGTTACTTCCTAAGGTGGTTTTAAGCATGTGGAGGAGGGAACGCTGTCTGTGAACTCTGCCATAGGACGCAAGCTACAGTTGGAACTCCCTGTTGGTGGGAGTGTGCATGCTGGGGATGGAGTGCTTGTTTTGATAGCCTGGGTATGCCTGGTGTTGCAGTCAACACGTGTTGGAGGGAGAGTGAGTTGGAGTTACATGGGAGTTGTTGCTTAGAGCAGGAGAAAGAAGTCCCAGAGGTGGGTCTTTTTCATTAAGGTGTTGGTATGTGAGGTAAGGCTTCTTAGAAAACATAGACCTCATGGGAGATAGATTCAGAAAATCACTGTTGAGAAGAAATCGGGACTTGTACGTAAAAGTATGTACCTAAGTGAGAGGCCACCCTGGAGAACCAAGGCCTGAATGCTGTTGGCCTTTTGTTTTTTTCTTTTTTGGCATCGATTTTTTTTCCTTCTTGAAAAGGTACAAAATCATTGAGAGGAAAGAATCATAACATGGGTCTGCAGCATATTTTTTTATTGTTTTGTTTGTTGAATGATATTTTGTTCCTCCTCTTTAAAATGGAATGAACTAAAACCTTATACCTGTCCTACTGTATTAAATTATTTAGTTTTTGCTCTGACCAGCATGGCTCAGTTGGTCCAGCTGAGGCCTGCAAAGTAAAAGGTCACCAGTTCAATTCCCTGCCAGGGCACATGCCTGGGTTGTGGGCCAGGGACCCTGGTTGAGTCATGAGGCAACTGATTCATGTTTCTCTCTCACACTGATATTTCTTTCCCTCTTTTCCCCTCACTCTAGAATCAAATAAATGAAATCTTTTTAAAAAATTAAATTAGCTTTTTCTTTCTCAAAGCACTCTCTTTACTTCATTCCCGTGACCTTACTTTTCCCTCTCTCTGCAGCCAGTCTTTCTCAGGCTTCTTGTGAGCTTCTCTTCCTCTGCCTGACCCTTATCTCTCAGCGTTTCTGGAGGTTTTGAGTAGGGCCTCTTCTCATTCCACATAGTAAACCTGTTGATTAAATGAATGAGTCATAACGGTTCGCGTTTTATACTGTTATGAGTCATAACGGTTTGTGAAAACATTGATTTAAAGGCTACTACTCTTAAATGTTTATCATTCTGTGTTGCCTAAAGTACGTGTACACATGTACTAAAAATAGACACTTGTCATGATTCCCAAGAATAACTACTTAGAGAGAGAAAAGGTCATGGATTTCAAACAGTTAGGAAACTCAGAATTTTTTATTAGTAGATTTAAAGCACTGTGGTTGCCCCAACCATAGTCACATTGCATTTTCTGCCATTCAGCTCCTCTGAATGATGTTGACAGGTTATTTAACCTTTCTGTACGTCCATAAAATGGGAATTAAAAAAAATGATCTCATAAAATTGCCATGAAGATATGATTGTCAGTAGATTGATTTAAATTGGGGATTGTGACTTCTCTGTCACTTCTCTTGTGTGGCTCAATAATCCCCTCTGGTGGTGTGAGGTTTTAGGAAAATTAATAGTGGTTTTTTTTTAATGTTACATTCCATGGCATCATTCCATAGGAGTTCTTTGAACTAATTTGTTATATTGAGACATAAAATGATTGACTACACTATATGATTTCATTGAATTTGTACACAGAAAGTGAAAATCAGAATGGAATTCTGGGAGAAAAATAGGTACTTCTTCATCTTCCTCCCATTTGGACTTCTAAAGTCATTGTTACCCATTTTGGTGAAAATAGATGTCCTAGTTAATACTCCTGTCTGACAGTGAGGCATTACCCTAAGAATGAAAAAATAAGCACTCAAAATAGTCTGCTTTGCTGAATATAATTCAATCATGAGTGATTCGAAGTCAACAGAATCCTGTAGTGTTCAGGGATGTACTGAGCATCAGATTCCATTTTACTATTGATGCAGAAAAATAGTAGTTAAGAGAGAGATTGCATGTTGACATTTTTCCAGATTAAATGGATTTTTACTGTATAAGTATACTTCTGTTATCCCTTTTTCAAAAATCACTCAGAGCATCATTTGATGCATCAGTCTGTCAAGATGTTCTCACTCTTAATATAATTTCCATAATTGTCCATCAGATGAAATAATTAAGAGCCTTGGGTCAATTATATCCAGACTGGTAAAGTCCAGTGTTAGGAGAGTTAACGATCAACTCAGCATGCTAATACTCTCCAAACTAACCACACTGCATACACTATCATTGTTCGCCTTTCCAATCTTCGTTCTTGGTGACACACTGAAGATTTCCTCAAGGACTACTCAAAGCAGATCTGATTCTCTGGTCATATTTAAGAGAAATAACTCTTCCACTGATTATTCTCATGAGAATGCCACTTCCAATATCATTTCTTTTTCACAGTCTTTGAGTTTCTAGTCCCTACTCCACCACTAATGAGCGTTTGGCTTTGGACAAAACTTTTAACCTTGCAAAGCTTCTATCTCTTCATCCTGAAATGAAAGCAGTCATTCCTGCTCTTCCAGCCTCAGTAGATTATTTTAAGGATCAAATGCGATAATACATGTGAATGTGTTTTGAATATTTAAGCTCTATAAAGACCAAGATATTTATATTTACCTTTAATATTATAAAATTCGTATGACATTTTTTGGTTGTTTTTCTTGCTGCTGCTGCTGATGCTCTCTGATTTAATGTCCTTAATTTCTTTGTGTGGTAGATCTAGCACAGCAGTATAGATAAAGCCACATTCTGGGGAGTCAGTTATTATTGTACTACAAATATTCAAGAGAAATTTTCTATTTGATAATTTGCCAAATCATTTGCCAGACTGAACAGCTTCTACTATTCTGTCAGCTTCTGAAGCCAATGGCTTCAGAATACTAATACTAATCACTATCATTGTTTTTTTATTGTGGTCAAAGCCATAATCTTAAGTTCTCACAGTTACCTTGCAGAGTAATATTATCTCTATTTAACATGTGAACAAACTGAGACTCAAAGAGGTATATTTATTGAACATCTCAAAGCTAGCAAGTTGGTAGAGTAAGAATTTATACAGGCAGTTTTTTTTTCTTTTTACCCCAAAGCCTGTGCTTCTCCCTCTACTTCCCTCAGTTTCCCTCACTTTTTGTTGACTACATGAACTTATTCCTTAATTACCAGAAATTCTATTCACAATTCCAGCAGATACCTGAAAACAGACCTATCGTATTTAATATCAAATAGTGATTGAGAGCATGTATTGTGGAGCCAGACCAGCTGGGTTCAGCTAGCTTTTGGCTATTTTTTTCTTTTTGTAGAATGGGTATATTAATTGCTGATCAGCCAGCATTTGATCTATATAAAGCTGTTTGATCACAATACCTTAGCCATTTGCTCTTAACCCTCTAATGTAAACCACATGGGCCAGAAGATAAGAGCTTTTGCCTGATGCTCACTAGCGTCATGGACTCACCTATCATTTGTGGTTAATTTAGTAAAAATAATAAGACCAACAATAATAATGATGATCTGACACAAAATGTTGAAGTATGAATCTTTTATGATTGGTAGTTATCAAAGATGAATTGTAGTTAACTTTTAAACAAAGAGGTTTTATTCTAATCAGTCTTTGTTGGCATATTTTATCCCCTGCAGAGACCAGTGAAGGTGTATCTTTGCAGCTGGGGAACACAAAAGATTTTATTATTTCATTTGACCTCAAGTTCTTGACAAATGGGAGTGTGTCCGTGGTACTGGAGACTACAGAAAAGAATCAGCTCTTCACTATACATTATGTCTCAAATACCCAGCTAATTGCTTTTAAAGAAAGAGACATATACTATGGCATTGGACCCAGAACTTCATGGAGCACGATTACCAGGGACCTGGTCACTGACCTCAGGAAAGGAGTGGGTCTCTCCAACACAAAAGCTGTCAAGCCAACCAAAATAATGCCCAAGAAGGTGGTACGGTTGATTGCAAAAGGTAAAGGATTCCTTGATAACATTACCATCTCGACAACAGCCCACATGGCTGCATTCTTCGCTGCCAGTGATTGGCTGGTAAGGAACCAGGATGAGAAAGGTGGCTGGCCAATTATGGTAACCCGTAAGTTAGGGGAAGGGTTCAAGTCTTTAGAGCCAGGGTGGTACTCTGCCATGGCCCAAGGGCAAGCCATTTCTACATTAGTCAGGGCCTATCTACTAACAAAAGACCATATATTCCTCAATTCAGCTTTAAGGGCAACAGCCCCTTACAAGTTTCTATCAGAGCAGCATGGAGTTAAAGCGGTGTTTATGAATAAACATGACTGGTATGAAGAGTATCCAACCACACCTAGCTCTTTTGTTTTAAATGGCTTTATGTATTCTTTAATTGGGCTGTACGACTTAAAAGAAACTGCAGGAGAAAAACTCGGGAAAGAAGCAAAGTCCCTGTATGAGCATGGCATGGAATCCCTGAAAGCCATGCTCCCCTTGTATGACACTGGCTCAGGAACCATCTATGACCTCCGGCACTTCATGCTTGGCATCGCTCCCAATCTGGCCCGCTGGGACTATCACACCACTCACATCAATCAGCTGCAGCTCCTCAGCACCATTGATGAGTCCCCAATCTTCAAAGAATTTGTCAAGAGGTGGAAAAGCTACCTTAAAGGCAGCAGGGCAAAGCACAACTAGAGCTCACAACCAAAACCCTATTTCAGCCTCTGCTGTGCACGAAAACTGCAGGCCCTGTCTCAGCAGAGCATAGGCACATGTTCGAAGGCCGAAGGCCGCAGACTAGGTGTTTGTGGATGGCATCAAAGTGACAAATGATCCTGAAAACCGATCTTCTGAGATAACTGCATTCCACGGGTTGGATGTCCAAAACTGTGGGGAGCATTTAGAGCAGGAAAGTGTTAGTCAGTGGGCTGAACGAAGATGTTTAGCCTTGCCTTGCTTATCACCCTGTGCAGTGCCGCAGGTAGCCCGGTCCCTCTTGGTTTGGGAAAATGAATGGTAAGTAGCTATAACTGGCCAACTGTCTATCACTTACCTGAAAACTTAGTATGGGGTGCTTTTAAAATGTGATTATTTATGTTTATGTTGAAAGCAGACTTTACAAAATAATGTGCTGTAATACAGTAAATACTTACTTGTAGCCTGAATAGTGGACTGTGTGCAACTTTTTTAAATGATTTTTTTTCTATAGATTAACCTCTTGGGGGCAAATGATCATTTGTTGCATTTGTTCAATTTGTTATATATGGAGACTATTTTGAATTTATGGTTTTCTTGATGTGTGAATTAAAAACACAGTCAGTGTTCAGGCTTCACAGTTATGTAATGTAAGCACAACTAAAATGAAACACGTTGACTGCACAAGAAATTACAAAAATGTTACCTGTTTTATGAAACTTGATCTACAATCAGTAAAGATTTGATAATCAATCTGTCCCTCCTCTATCCCCATTGTGATGGTTTCTTTTGTTACTATCGAGAATTTTGTATTTCATTTCAGACTACATTCAAGAGTTTTTTTCTATTTGAGGGGACATTTGGGGGAATATTATTTGGGAAATTTTATTATAAACCTGAATTTGGGGAGGAGCTACTAATTTTGATAAGTCCACCACCACTACCCTTTTAGGATTTTTTTCCCCTTAAAGAAAAATACTCGGTCAGATACTACATACAAGCATCACAGTAGGTTTTTTCCTATTTAGATCATTCTTGGTCATCAACTTTTCAACCCATTGACTCTATGTATCATTGTTTTTCCTTTGCAATTTTAATTTTAAATTATTTAAACTATTGGATAGAAGTGAAGCTACTGCATTTGTTGTACAAGTATGATCAGACTTTATTAGCTTTTATATCTCACCGTATCCCACTCTATCTATTGGTTTCTTTGCCCACATACCCCGGGCAGTGTCTGCTGTAGGGCTTCAAGCATTAGGTCAGAACCAAGGGAAGTCGGTTTTGCTGGCTTTTGTTTCCGTGCATGACAATACAGCAAATCAATACTATAACTGAACAGATTGGAAATATGAGACCCCACATTCTTAGGGGTCACATACAAACGGTACAGTTTGTCTGTGACCTATATTAAATGCACACCAACTCTATTTTGCCCACAATAAAATAGTTGTAAGTTATTAGGTTTCCCCATAGCTTTTGGCCTTTGTAGTTCTTATACATTAGATGACTCAACAAGAATATCTGGATGCCTTCATTTTTAATTTCAGTGCTCAAAAATAAACTTTCTCCAGTCTGGAACCCTTTTTACTTCATCATATTTGTTATTATTTTAGAGTAGTCTGACTTCTGCCTTGCGTTTGCATACTGGTATTTCAGATTAAGGGACTCAATGAAAACAGTATGGTACTGCTTCTGTGACAAATATCAGTGCCTTACAACTTGTCTGTCCTTTTCCACCAAAAAAAGGACAGGCATTTTGATCTAGAAATGGCATTGCTATTTCACTGTTGTTGGTTTCACACTGCCTTCCACATTGCGACAGCAACTTGATTTTTCTGTGATCCCAGAGTTTTCTAAGAGAGGGAATTGAACCTGTAGCAGCACCGTCCGTACAAACTAATGGTTTTCAAACTTTAGGATATCTCAGAACCACCTGGAAACATACTGAAATACAGATTCCAGATATTCAGTAAATCTGCCTGTGAACCATGGTAACCTGAGTTTTTAACAAGCATCCAGGTGACCCTGATGCGGGTGACCTGGGGGCGTACATGGGAGGACACTGCCCAAGACGATCCATTGCATTTTTGTTCCTCAACCCCCGTGGAGTTCTCTAGGGTTTTAAATCATGTGAAATGTTTACTTATTCTGAGCTTAGAGAGAATCAGGAAGGTGTTTTAAAGTTTTAGTTTCCTTAAATTTGTCTTTGTTTCAAGATTATGGGTATTAGTTTACACTTATCTTGAGTTAGCTTTGATGTTAAGTTAAATCTATTGCCACTTCAGTTTTTAAACCAGCCAAAAGTTTCAGATAAAGGTCAAGTTTGACCCTTAAGCAGTTACTGTACATAAAGGCTTCATCCAAAAACCATCCAGTGTATGTGAGCAAATACAAAAAATGACACACAAGCACAACTCTCCAGATGTGGCAGTCCTTTTTCTTTGTCAGTGTGCAAACTTCCACTGAAAGCTGCTATTCGCATCCTCCTTGAAATTCTTTTTCTTGTTTTCCTCCATTGTACATGTGGGTTATATACCATGTGTTAAATATGCAATAAAGTGTTTACTGGATGCCCTTCTGAAGGGTAGTCCTTTGTAAAGCTGTACAGACTTTGCAGTTTAAGCACAATGTGCACATGTTAGTTTTATATACAGCAAAACTTGATTTTTTGCAGATGGAAAGGTATTTTGTTTCTATACAAAGTAAATGGATTGTTTGTGCTTAATGTAAAGCTGCTTTATAAAATTGTAAAATAAAGTTTTTATCTTAAAAGGAATATACCTGGATATTTCTCTTTCTTCTTTAATTATTCTAAGGTTATTTGATCCCAACAAGCAGATTTCTGACCATATTTTCTGTTCAGCCTGTGACAACTGGACAGGCAACAGATGTTTATTAAAAGGGGTATCAGACCCTTTAAGACAACATGGGGAGGAGTATATCGCATGGGCCTTAACCAAGAGGTCTGGTCTACAGGGAGCACACAATGTCCACAAAACAGTTCCAGAAAAATAAAATGGTGAATATGTGGCCAGTCAGAGAAGCTGCTGTGAAGGAGACAGAGGCTAAGCAGGGGCTTCCAGCCTGGCTGCCGGGTAGAAGAAGAAGGGAAGGCAACATGAGCGGAACTGGGCTGCCGTGCCAGCTGTAAGGGCGCCCTCCCCATGCTAATTCAGGCTGGGAACTATTTATATCTGATTTCGATTTATTGGAAATTTCGTCCTTTATTTTTTTTTATAGCTGTCCCTTCTCCAGAACAATAAGCACTATTTAATCTTTCCCCCCACCACCCCTTCTCAGAGAGTAAACTTGGGCTCCCAAATACATATAAAATTGTAGACCAGCCTGGCTTCATATTATGTTTCTTTGCACATTATCTGTTGGGCTATAAACACTCTGCATTTATATAACAGAATTCCAATTGATCACCAATCAGCATTTTCCAACTGATGGGTACACATTTTGACAGGCTGCTAATCCATATTCTTGGCCTCTCTTCCTTCTCTGTCATCCTCAGTTGAGAAATAGCCATAAGAGGGCAAGCAGCTCTTGGTCTGGATGAGGTCGCAGGCTGCTCTTGCTTTGATTTTGCCATTTGTAGCCAAGCTGTTAATACATTAGCCATTCTGCTGTAGCACACTGAACACATATTTATCTCCCCACTGCTCTTGAGAGGGGACAGACCCTCCATGCCACAGAGGACTTACTCCACAGTCTGCTGAGTACTCCTTTCCTGAGGACGCCTCCTCCGTATCCATAGGGCTCTGGGACCCTGCCTTTTCTGGGAACAACTATTAAACTAGGGGTGAGTCCCTAACTGAGGCTGGGCCAATGAGTCTCTTTCCCCAGGAATCCAAAATTGGGACGGATAAAAAAAGCAAAACAAAAAAATGAATAAGTTTCACAGTGAAAAATAAGAGATGAAAGAGAATTTTGGCAGTGCTCGAGATCCTGGGCCCAGTGCACTTCTGGGGCCAGCAGCGTCGCACTCTGGCTCCATTAGACACCGCTGTATCCTTAGGATAAATCCCTGCGTATGCTAAGTCAGCTGGACTTGATTTCTAGTACTTAAAACTAATTAATAACCGTGTCCCACTATGGAGAAAAATACAATGTAAATTCTACCTTTTCCTCCAACCTGGACCACTGTATTTGCTAGGCCTGCCGTAACAAAATAACACACACTGGGTGGCATAAACCATGGAAATTTATTTTCTCACAATTCTGGAGGCTAAAGATCCCAAATCAAGGTGTCAGCAGGCTTGGTTCCTTCCAAGGCCTCTTTCCTAGGGTGGCAGATAGCCACCTCCTTCCTGTGTCCTCCCTATGTTACCTTTTTCTGAAGCTGTTCGTGAACGGACATCAGTCATACTGAATTAGGGCTCATGTATGTGCTTTTATTTTACCTTAATTACCTCTTTAAAATCTTACCTCTAACTACAGTCACAATCTGAGTGCCTAAGAGTTAGGGCTTCTACATGGATTGGGGGGGACACAATGAAGCCCATAGCAACCACTCTTTACTCTCAAGCACCCAGAAACTGAACTAGCCAGAGTTGCCATTCAATTGGTAATAACCAGTTAAAGCTAAAACTCGGATATTTAGGGACTATTCAATGGGCAGAAATCTAGACTTTGGGTTCCGGAGACAGGGCTCCCTGGCTCTGCCATTGCAGCACCGGGAACTTCCTCCACCCCATGGGCTTCCATTGCCTCATCATGTGGTCCAATAAGGGAGAACTAATTGATCTTAAACTTTTCTTAGTAAACAAACAAAAGGTACCCTCTAAACTTAAACAGTGGTGTTAAAAAAAAATACGTGTAGGCGCCAACATCAACTGGTAGGTTTTTATTCCTACCCTGTGCCACTTCCATTAGCCCATTATGAATACGGAACACTGAAGTATTGAAAAAATAGAGATTCAAAGTATGTCAAAATAGCAAGTTGTTAGATTTGTTTAATGACAATTTTTTAAATCTCAAGCCTGCATTATTGTAACTTACAAACTATTAATATAGGGATAAAATACTGATTTTTATTTTGCCAACTCATTAAGAATGTCAAATTGAAAATAGATATGAATTTAAACATTGTATTGGTGATGAAATTGAATGTTTGCTGCTGCTCACTTTCTGATGAAACGAGATATATTTACCATCTGGTAAGCATGATTGGTAACTCGCGTGTGTGTGCTGCGTTTCCTGAATGTTAAGTAGCAGCAACACTGTGTAATTTTGCTCATCCTTTTCCAGGAGTAGAAGGATCTTGTGAAATGACAGGACCGCAAAGCAAACCATCGAGGAGCAGTAGTAAAGTGAGCAACAAAAGGGGAAGAAAAATGCCCTGTGAAGGATCAGAAATAGAGCAGCCCTTGTAAATGTATATTGGGAATATATTTCCATGTCTAATAAATAAGTAAATAAAAGAAGTGTGTGTCTCTCCAGAGAAAGAAATAGAGCAGTCCATGATGTAATGGTAAACAGTTTATACCGGCTGTTATTCGGCCACCTCAACCTCACTGCACCCAAGCTCACCATCTGGAAGAGCAAGTGCCTTCCTGGGACTTTGTGCTGCTCTCATCAGCACCTAGTGAAATCACTGAGACAAACATGGCTGCCCCCTTTCAGTTTAGAAAACCTAGTAAAGAGGGTTAATCTCTGGAGTCTAGAGAAAGAAGTAAATCCCTAGGTAGGGGTGGGGGTCTTGGCAAAAGTGCATGATTTTCATTAAATGCCTGTTATTCTGTCTTTTTTAGGTGAAATTAACTGTGCAAT